TGAGTTTATGAAAATGATCGACAAAAAATCTCTACTATTAGGTTTTATTATTTGGTTTCCCCTATGTTTGCGATTATACTTATATTTAACACCCCAAGGCAACATGGTCAGATTAGCCTTGTGTACATGAGGAATGTGTGAGAATGACTGTAAAGTGTTAAGGTAGCATGTGTACCTTGACATCTGCCAATTTACAATTATGAAAATGTCGCATATCAAAATGTTTCTCTTCCTTCCTCATCTACAACAGTTGTATTGCCTTGAGATCTTGTAATTGTAACGTTAATATTATCAATGTTGATTACGAAAAGCAAAACAATACCCAATCATTCATCATAAAGAATCTTGTAATAAATACCTAAAGAGACAGACAAATTCTGCTCCCACAGTTTGATTTTTATTAAGTAAAGAATCAATACATATCAATATTTATAAAAACAATTAAATGATAAAAAAAAAATCAATACAATGCAACAAAAAATAGTGTACCTCTTGCCATCAATAAACAACACCTTGTCTCCTTTAGAGCAAGCCATATCGAACAACAACATTCATGCTTTCTTGTCTTGTAAAAGATAAACTGTTTTTCCAAATAAAAAATAATAAAAAAATTTTAATCACATCATCTTTGTACAACCAACACATGCATAAATAAAATTTTTCTTGTGTATGTTGATCAATTAATATCATTAAATGGTGGTGGTGGTTATTGCCACTTGTTGTCACTCTAGTTATTTTATTTAAATGTATCTTACATATATATAATCTTTCCAAATTGTACAGATCTGGAAAAGAAAGACAACAATGTGTAGATGAAGTGATTGGTTCGGTAAGTAAACAAGTAAATCACATTTTTTGAATATGTTGGTCTTTTTGTTATGGGATAAAGAATTCAGCAAAAGGAAATTATATTCTCTTCAAATGACAAATTGATTATTCCATTCTAACAAATTTGGATTTTAATAAACTTTCTTTGTGATAGAGTTTGGCTCCAAGAGAACTATTCAATGTTGATGCTTTAGCAGAGTGTAACAGAAAAGTTGTACCAAAACTTCCAAGACCATTAATGCCAATTGAGGTCTTGAGAGTTTTAAATCAATTGTATCCAAATATCAAAGAGTTTGTTCCTGAAGTCCACCTGAAATTGAAGATTTTGTTCCTGAAGTCACACCTGAAATCAAAGATTTTGTTCCTGAAGACACACCAGTCCTTGAAACAGTACCTGAAGTTGAAGAACTTGTTATGCCTGAACAAGTAACTTTTAATAGACTTATCTTTGTTGGTTCATTTCACATCTTGAAACTAACACATTCTAATTTTTAAAAGTTCTAAAATCAATCAAATTTACATCAAAGTATGTAATTAATAATATACTAAAACTTTTGTTTTTTTTAAAAATATTTTCTATGATCAATAATAAAATAACACATGGTCTTTTATTGCAATAAAGGAGAAAATATACTTGGAAAAGGGAGAGTCAATCATTGTAGAGCCCTTCATGGTAATATCCAAGAAATAAGAAAACCTTCCTTAAGAAAACTTGCTCATAGGGGAGGAGTCAAGCATATATCTAATGTTTGTTATGAATAAGGTTTCTGGTCAAAACTGCTTCTATTAGTAGCCGAAATTGCCCAAATACTTTGGGCAAAAATTATTTTTTTATAAGCCCAAACTACTTTTTGTTATTAGCCGAAATTGTTAAGTTAAAACAAGTTGATTCATATAGTTTTTTAATGTTGATGCTTATAGAAAATGTTGAGAAGCCCAAATTGCCCAAACTAGTTTGGGCTTTGAGAAAACAGTTTGGACCAGAAACCTTAGTTATGAAGATGTTCATGGTATATTAAAGGAATTTCTTGAAGATATAGTTTGGAGTATGTAATAATAGCAAATTATAACAACAAATTATAATTTATGGATATTAATAATAACAATTTTTACATATTATGACTTTTTTCTTTAGTCTGTAGTCACTTGCACAGTGAATCTCGATTTAACAGATCTTGATTTAGCGGATACTAATTAAAAATCTTGGTTTTACGGATAAAGTTCAAAGAACGGTTTCATAATAAACCTTAATAAAAACCTTCTCGATATAGCAGATATCTCAGTTTAACGGATTTTTGGAAAATTTTCCCTAATTGCCCAAACTATCCGTTAAATCGAGATTCACTGTGTATATGGAACAAGCAAGACGTAAAACAGTCACATGCATGGATGTTGGTAAATTGGTTCACTTCACTATAATATATATTGTAAATGTATCACTACCTTTTAATCATATTAATCTATTTATTGAAACATATTTTCTTAATAGCATATGCACTAAAAAGAAAAAGCAAACTTCATTATGGATTTGGTGTATAAATTTTTTTTAAAAAAATGTATTTTTAAATTTGGGAGCTTAAAAAATTTCTTGTATATCTACAATTTGAAGTTTTTAAATTAAAGAACTTTGATTACCACAAAATGGTTACGATTGTTAGTTAATTAATTGGCGCACAATTTTTTATTCTTCAAAAACGATTCTATAGTACAATGATAATAACTATTGTAAATGATCTCTCAACTTATTTTATCAAAGAAACAGACACAACTTGAATATATTTGAGAAATAATTCGCTAATAATGTAAAACCTGTTGTCATACATAGGTAAACTCGATAATTCGGACACAAATGGCTGGACATGGTGTCCGACTTATCAAGAGATCTGACTTATCAAAATATGCAATTTTACAAAAAAAAAAAAAAAAATAAGAAAATCGTTGTTTA